CTAATAATCGATCATATGGCATTATTTCATGATTTTGCTTGAAATTAATGGAAATTAAGGGTTAAAAATTGGGGATTAGGTCTTGGTATTGGAGACCTTGACTTGAGGATTTGAGGGGCCATTTGTGGTCGGATTTTGGGACTTTCGATATGTATGAACTCGTGGGGAGATAAGGAATCTACTGATGTAAATTTTATTAAATTCCGAGACGTGGGTCCGGGGGTCGGGTTTGGCCAATTTCGGAATTTTTGGTATAATTTGATTATTTTCGCTTGGGCTTCGATCCCTTAGCATATTCTAATGTTATGATTCTGATTTTGGGGTAGATTCGGCCCGGATCGAGGCGAGAGGCAAAGGCATTGCGGAGTAGTATTTCATCCGGTTTGAGGTAAGTAACCATTGTAAATCTGGAACTGAGGGTACAAAACCCCGGTATTTCGTATCGTTTTGATAAATGAGGTGACGCACATGCTAGGTGACAAGCGTGTGGGCATGCACCAGTAGGGATTGTGACTTGATCCGTCCCGTAGCGACTGTTAAGCCGCGTACTTGATTTGAAATCTTATGATATCTCGTATTTTAGAAATTTATACTGTATTATGGGTTGTATGCCATGTTTGGGGCTTTGTGCCGACCTGTTGAGACCCTTAGGGGCATTTTTACTGTTGTTCCTCATTCTATTTGTTTGGAAGCACATCCTCAGTCATGTTTTACCTGTTTATTATTTAAAACTGGTTTTACCACTCTACTTCTTAAATGTGAGAACTGTTTAGACTGAGTTCCCTGATTTCCACTGTTATGCCCGAGTGGCTGTGAAGTTAATGATTGAGAGAGGTTGAGTACCTAATGATGAGGATTATAAATATTACGGATTGGGCTACACGCCGCATCAATATTATATATATATATTATGGATCGGGCTGCACGCCGCAGCGATACTTATATGGATCGGACCGCACGCCACATCAATATATATATTGGATCGGGTTGCGTGCCGCAGCGATATGACGTTTGGGATGTAGGAGTCCCTCCGAAGTCTGTACACCCCCAGTGAGCGTAGTCGACTATAAACTATTGATCGGTTGCACGCCACAACGGTTATTATAATTATTACTATTATGAGATAATATTGAGCCTGAGTGCTGAGTGTGAGTACTGTGTCACGAGCGATGTGTCACGAGTGACTGAGAGGCTTTCCCGAGAGGCTATAATTATGAGTGATACCTTGCCCGAGGTGCCCATTTATGATTTTTTTGCTGATTTCACTCTTCTTTTATAATAAGCCTCTGTTGAAAACTGCTAAGTAAATGAATTCAAAGTATTTCAATTGAAACTGAAGTTTTTACGATTGTTGAGTTCGATTTGATACTCTGTTGTAAACTCTTACATATGATTTTTAACTGCTCGTCACTGCTTTCAGACCTTATTTACTTTAGTTACTTACTGAGTTGGCGTACTCACGTTACTCCCTTCACCTTGTGTGCACATCCAGGTGCCCGAGCGGCAGAGTAAGGGTTCTCGGCATTTCCAGAGCTTATTGGAGATTGCAAGGTAGCTGCAGGGTGTCCGCAGTCCTGCTTTCCTCCTTCATATCCTTGTTTTTCTGCATTTTAGACTTGTTATGTATTAGACAGTCGGATCAGTGTATTTAGAGGCTCTAAACTCGTGACACCAGATGTTTGGGCTGTGTTGGTTTAATGTTTTTACTGCTTTCCACACATTTCAGTGGTTTAAATATTTCTTATGAAAAATTGAGACTTAATTAATGTTAGAAAAATGTTTTTAGTAAAAGAACTTGATTGTGGTTACTTGTTGGGTTGACTTGCCTAGTATTGTGATAGGCGCCATCACGATCGGGTATTTGGGGTCATGACAATAACAACTCGGTCATAAAAGGGGAAAGATGTTGTACTTACAGACTCCTATATAAGGGAAAGAGATATCATTTGTACAGACACGTTCTAATTATTATTGGAATATAATTATTTTCTTTTGCTTTCCATTGAATACTTTGCTATTTCTTATTCTGATTTCCTTTCCTATCACTGTGAGAATATTAAATTTCTTGATTATCAGTAGCCCGAGTATTTCTAAAAATAGACTTTGACCGAAATACCCATTTTTTGGTTAAACAAAGACTCATAACATTCTCAGAATCTCAAGGTACTAATTTCCACTTGGATTAATCTCCTTGGCAATTTAATAATTATCCTTTAAGATACATCAAGTGTAACTATATATTTAACTTATTTTTTCGCTTGTATTTTTATTTGGGAGGATGATAATAGAAGTTGAGTTTAAAAGAAGAAGTGATAATTCATATTAACAACCCCAACTTGTCAATCAAATAGCCGATCTCAATTTGTTACGGACTCGGGCGTAGTCATTATTGTATTAGTAAGTCGCATCAAGTGATAACTATATTCGCACTAACGTGCAAACCAGCAAAAGGAAATGGCCGAAGACTTTACTATCATTAATATTAGAAACTCACTACAGAAAAGGGTAAAAAAAGACCAAGTCAATAAAAAAACGGATGGTTAAGGAAATCATATACAGGCAACGCATGCAAAAGACTTGACTAGTCAATCATCACATACTTTCTCTCAAGCTGGAAAATTTCCAAATAGAAAAGGTATGGCCTCTAAACAAACGTACTGAGATGTTTAAGAAAACAAAGGAAAAATATGGTTTAAGACTAATTTCCAAGAAATTTTTATTGAGGTTATCGTGAACAAGGTTTTGGCCCCTCCAATTTTGGAATGACTGTAGCTTGACAATGTCGTCAAAGCACAAGGAACAACTAGGCCCATAAAATTCCCCCAACACTTCTTTTGACAACAATGGTGTCCGGTCATCTTGCTTGCTCTCCGAATATTCCAGCAGGTACCCAATTAGGGTTGAATGTTGACAGATATCGGTGAGTTTCTCCTAAGCTTACAAGTAGTACTAGTACTATTCTTATATTTTCTTATTTCTGGTTCTTTATTATTACATGTGTCATTCGCTTCCGTTACTCGATTACATTGTTGTTACTACTATTTGTTGTTTTATTTTCACTGTTCCTTCAGCCAAAAGTCTATCGAAAACAGCATCTATACCTTTATAAGGTAGGGGTAAGATCTGCGTAGACACTACTCTCCTCAGACTCCACTTATGATATTACATTGGATTTTTTTGTTATTGTTGTAAAGACTTGTGCAAAAGCTGGATGCTACATTCAATGCACCTTTCAAAAATTGCAACTTACATTCTTGGTGGTCCTAGTTAGATACCCTTAAATTGACAAGTCTCAATGAGGACAACAACATTGGTAGACTTAACTAATGAAGAGTCTCTTACATACCTTGACTTGGTCTAAAGTAGCTCAGGTCTTCATTTTGAATAAAGATTTCACATTTATAAGACTTCAGAAATCTTCACCACAAATACAGTGTTATCAAAGGCGCACTTAAGCGCGTTTAAGCCTGAAGCGAGGCTCAAAACATGTTGAGCGCTTCGTCTCACTTAACAGGCGCTTCAGTGTTGTCATCAAGGCTCTAAGGCACACTTTTCCTTGCCAATGAGCGTAATCCTGAAGAGGCGACACGAAACAATTGATATTTTACTTTATCATAAATTTTCTTCCATTTCTTTATCCATATATTTGGTATTCATGCTTATAGACATTAGCTTGGACTACACATATATATTTGTAATTTTTCTCTATTTGTACCTTTCTTTATTAAAGCATGCGCTTTATTTGTGCTTTGCACTTAAAGCCCCAACAAACCGCGGAGCTTTTTTGTGCTTTTCGCATTTAATAACGCTGCACAAATAGACTAGATAACTTTGTTATTCAATTTGTATTACTGTAATAAATAATAAAAAACAGTAAACTTTCTGAAATAGAAACAGAAAGTAGAAACAGTATGTCAAAATAATTAATTTTTCCAACGAAGCGGGTTCAACTGAACCCCTTCCTACAAGGTGGGTCCGCCCCTGTTCAGAAATGGTAGATAGTTTTTGAAACAAAGGAGTCAAGGTGTCAAACATTAAAAAAGATGCAGCAGTATAAACAACTAAAGTAACAAACTCTTAAACTCAGTATAAGGAAAATCCACATACCCATTCACACTTTTTTTTTTTTAAACCCCTCTCAAATTAGGAGGATCTATAGTGTTTCCACACTTCCCCTTCATGGTGACTCGAACCCAGGACCTAACGGTCGTAGGTAGAGGTACTTTTACCAACTGAGCAATACACAATTGTCTTCAACCACAAGCATGATAAGGAACAAGTCGAGTTGATCTAAATCTTTTTAGATGACCTGACACTGTTACTATACAGAAATTAAACTCTTATATCTGTTTCATTGAGGTGTATCAAACAATGAATACTAAATGAGGTTTAAACTGTCATAAGTAATTTTTATTGCGCTTATCGTAAACAGGGGTTCTGGCCATCAAATATGTCACTAACAAACTGACTTTAGCTTGCCAATCCTGTAGAAGCACAAGGTACAACCGGGCCCTACAAATACCACAATTTAAAAGTATTATTGCTTGACTAAAGACTTGTAAAAAATTTCACCTAACATTCACCGATTCAAGGTGGTCATAGGTATTTACACTTAAAATGATATTGACAGGACTCAATAAGGATAATGTCATTTATAGACTTATATACGTGGTATTTTCTCAGAATCGACAGGACTTAATAATTTCCAAGTCTCCTATATTACTTTTCTTTCAACTAGTTAGTGAACAGCTTTCTTAATTGGCAAACATTGACTTGACCTAGAATAGCTGAAGTCTTTGGATTCTTCCAACTATAAACTGAATATAATAGCAATGCAATTTTGTGATAAATCAGAGGAAAAGAAAGAGAAGAAATTCTAAAATCANACTTGACCTAGAGTAGCTGAAGTCTTTGGATTCTTCCAACTATAAACTGAATATAATAGCAATGCAATTTTGTGATAAATCAGAGGAAAAGAAAGAGAAGAAATGCTAAAATCAATGGCTGTTTTGCTATGGTTATTATTCCTATCTGCATTTCATGTAGTAGCACTAGCACAACAAAGAAACTTCAATATAACTCCTGGTTCTTCTCTAACACCTACTGCCAATTCGTCATGGTTTTCACCCTCAAGGCGCTTTTCCTTTGGGTTTTATGAGCAAACTAATGGCTACGCTGTTGGAATCTCCATCAGCAGCATGCCGAAGAAGACAGCAGTGTGGACAGCAAACAGAATCAGTCCTGCTGTCCCAAGCAGCGCTGTCTTGCTCTTAACTAGTGATGGAAGGCTCATTGTGCAAGTAGGACAAGGCCAAGAAATACCTGTTATAAATCCTTCTCAAGCCATTGCTTCAGCTTCCATGCTGGACACTGGCAACTTTGTGCTCTACAATTCTAATCACAATATCATATGGCAAAGTTTTGACAACCCAACAAACACCATTTTACCTGGTCAGCATCTCTCTGCTGGACAAGAACTGTTCTCAAGCGCCTCAGAAGAAGATGACTCACTTGGGATTTTCCGTCTCAAAATGCAAAGCGATGGGAACCTCGTTCAGTATCCAGTCCAGACACCAGACACAGCCCAGTATTCTTACTTCTCAACAGGCACCAGTGGAGTAGGGAATAATGTTACACTGAATCTTGGCGATGATAGCCTCCTCTACTTACTCAATTCCACTGTCAGTCTCAAAAATCTAACAAAGGGAGACTATCCTAGAGAAAGGACCATCTATTTCATGAAAATTGATGTTGACGGTATTCTTCGAGTTTATTCACATTTTCTGAGCCAACAGAACAGCTCTGCAATATGGTCATCAGCATATGATAGATGTGTTCCAAAAGGCCTTTGTGGGCTTAATGGCTTTTGTATCAATATAGATGATCAAGTTAGCTGTGCGTGTCTTCCAGGATTTGATTTTGTAAAGCCAGGCAATTGGAGCGCAGGCTGTGAAAGAAATTTCACTGCAGAAACCTGTCGGTTAAAGGAGAAGACTTCTAAATACTATGCCATGAGATCAGTTGAGAACACAAGATGGGAAGATATCTCTTATGCTACTTTGGTCACAACAACAAAAGAAGATTGTGTACAAGCCTGTTTACAGGATTGTAATTGTGAGGCTGCTCTATTCAAAGATAGAGAGTGTAGAAAGCAAAGGCTGCCACTGAGATATGGAAGAAGAGACATGAGTGATTCTAATCTAGCATTGGTCAAGGTGGGAATTAACGTNAGGTGGGCATTAACGAGTTTGCAGAAGAAGGGTTGTTTAACCAGATTGAAGAAACAAAAGGAGAAAAGCTAAGGATGGACATCCTAATTGCCGGCATTACATTGGCTGCTTTTGCTTTCTTGGTGTTGGGCATCTCCGGATTCCTCATTCACAGGAATCATATCTGGACTTACAGGAAAATCCAGGAGAGTAGAAGTGTTCATTTATGTGAAGATGTTGGTCCACGAGCATTTTCATATGCAGAACTAGAGCAGGCAACCAGTGGTTTCACAGAAGAGTTAGGAAGAGGAGCATTTGGGACAGTATTTAAAGGGATTTTGGCAGAAGACCAGAAAGTGGTAGCTGTTAAGAGACTAGACAAGGAATTGGTAGAAGGGGAAAAAGAGTTCCAAACTGAAATGAAAATCATTGGAAGAACACATCATCGAAATCTAGTCCGCCTCCTTGGTTACTGCTTAGATGGATCAAGAAGGCTTCTGGTGTATGAGTACATGAGCAATGGTTCACTCTCAGACATACTTTTCACACCAGAAAAACAGCCCACGTGGGAGGAAAGGTGTGGCATCGCTAGAGATATTGCAAGGGGCCTCCTATATTTGCATGATGAGTGTGACACACAAATCATCCATTGTGATATAAAGCCTCAGAACATACTCATGGATGATCATTTTTGTGCTAAAATATCTGACTTTGGAATGGCCAAGCTCTTAAAGAAAGATCAAACAAGAACCTACACAGGGGTAAGAGGGACCAGAGGCTATGTCGCACCAGAATGGCACCGAAAACTGCCAGTGACAGTGAAAGCAGATGTTTACAGTTTTGGTATCGTTCTATTGGAATTGATCTGTCGGCGGAAGTGTGTCGATTGGAGCCTTGCTGAAGATGAATCGATTCTTGAGTACTGGGTTTACAGCTGCTTTGAGGCAGGAGAGCTAGGAAAACTGGTCGGGGACGAGGAGGTTGAGAGAAGACAATTCGAGAGAATGGTGAAAATAAGCATCTGGTGCATTCAAGACGAACCATCACTTCGCCCTTCAATGAAGAAAGTTCTATTGATGCTTGAAGGGACAGTAGAAATTCCAGTGCCTCCTAGCCCTACTTCTTTTCTAAGTACCATATAGTTTTAAATTTTCCTTTCTCACTTTTTAATTTTGAACTTTACCATAGAGTGAAGAGCACTTCATCATCTGTACTTTAGCTAAATACAGAATAATTCTATAAGAATTATCAAAAAAAGAATAATTCTATAAAGTTTTCTTAAATAGAAATAATTCTATCTAGTTTTTACATCATTCTAGAGGTGGGCATATATCGGGTAAAACCGATAACCCGAACCGTTAATTACTTATTGGGTTATCGGTATTGGGTTATTGGGCTAATGATTCGGTAACGGGTAAAAAAAATTGCTTATTGGGTTATCGGTTCGGGCTCGGTTTATCAATTCTGTTATTGGGTAAACCGATAACCCAATAAGGGTTTACTAATTTACTAGTCTACCCTTTAGTCTATAATACTAGGGTTTCATTTTCATTATTTCATATAGTGCTTTGCTTTCTCCGATGTCCGCCTCACTCACTCCTGTCATATGCTTGAAGTCCTCAGTCAAGCCCTTAGTCCTCAGTCCTCACCCTCAGAAGTCAAACCTCACCAGTTCTCTGCCAGTCCGCCACCGACCACACGGCTCAAGCAGTCAAGCCCTCACCAGTTCTCTGCCTCATGACTCACGCCCACACGACTGAGCCCGTCAAAACTCAGTTTTCTATATCTTTTTCCGGCAGAGCATTGCACTAAGGTTAGTCTTTCATATCCCATTTCTGAATTCATCTTAGTTTGGTATCTTAGAAATCAATTTTTGCATATTTTCCTTTTTATGAAGCTCGAAAAATGGTTTCCCTAAAATGTTTGGTTTCTTGAATTTATACTACACTGATTGTTTGAATTCCTTTTTCATACTATACTGATTTATACTACACTGATTTATACTATAACATCATGCAAATTTAGTGGGTAACATCCTGAAAATTTGGTGTTGTATAACAAACGAAGGTGGTGTTTTCTTTCTCTGTTGTCCGTACTTATCTTTTATTTTACCCTGCTTGATAGTTGCTGCTTAGCGCCTTAGACTGAGTTGTTTCCCATCCTCACTTGTTTACTGTCTATGTTGTGGCAGGAAGTATTGAGCATTTATTCAAAAAATATGTGTTTCATTTTAAGATTTTAAGCTAAATATGTAGTTATATGTGTTTCATTTTAAGATTTTGTTGTCTCGCTGCTTGATTTCTTTTAAATCAAATTCACAGTGACACAAAAACATGGCTGAAAATATCATGATTGATAAGGTGATTGGTGAAAGTGGAGCTTCTAATTCAAATGCCACATCACAATCTCAATCAGTTCAATCGAAAGCAAAAAAACAAAGAAAAAAGAGGTCTGTTGCATGGGAATATTTCGACCAAATTATTGATCCGGAAGGAAATCAAAAGGGTGTTTGTAAACATTGCAAAAGAGAATATTTTGCCGATTCAAAAGATAATGGTACGAAATCACTCCTTACACATATGGCCAAGTGTTTAAAAATGCCTTTAGATGTTGCAAAAAGTCAATCAAAACTAGGCTTTAACCCTATTCCGTGGGGTAATAAGGGTGATGTAGCCGTTGTTCCTTGGAAATTTGATCAAGAACAATGTAGGAAGGCTTTGTGTCGTATGGTGATCGTTGATGAACTTCCTTTCAGCTTTGTTGAAAAGGAAGGTTTTATGAATTTTATGAAAGTTGCACAACCTTTTTTTCGAATTCCTTCACGTAGAACTGTGACTCGGGACTATTTTGATCTTTTAAATGATGAAAAACGTAAGTTGGTGAAGCTTTTTAAAGATCAGAGAGTTTGCCTTACCACTGATACTTGGACTTCCTTACAACGAATAAATTATATGTGTATTATTGTTCATTGGATTGATAATGAATGGAAAATGCATAAAAGAATTGTCAACTTTTGTCCAATTTCTAGTCATAGGGGGGAAGATATGACAAATAGTATTGTTAATTGTTTGAAAGAATGGGGGTTACAAAAGATTTTCACTATCACAGTTGATNAATTGTTTGAAAGAGTGGGGGTTACAAAAGATTTTCACTGTCACAGTTGATAATGCTAGTTCAAATGATGTGACGGTGAAGGAGCTTTCTAAGAAGTTAACTAAATGGGGGACCAATTCTATGAATGGTAAGCACCTTCACGTGAGGTGTATGGCTCATATTATGAATCTTGTTGTTCAGGATGGTATAAAAGAATCAATTGTGTCTATTGAACGTATTAGGCAAGCAGTGAGATATATCAGGCAGTCTCCTGCTAGGTGGAAAAAGTTTCAGGAATGTTGTGATGAAGGAAATCTAGTTAGGAAATCTTTATGTTTGGATGTTCCTACAAGGTGGAATTCTACATACTTAATGTTGAACAGGGCTATTGAATATGAGAGTGCAATTTTAGAATATGTTGATCATGATATTGGCTTGTCACATCATCTTGAGTTTGTTGATATTGTAAATGGAAGTCCTGCAGGTACACTTTTGAGTAGTGATTGGGAGGATGTAAAGAAATTGACAAAATTTCTTGAAATCTTTTATAAGCTTACTGTAAAGGTATCTGGCTCACTTTATGTTACATCAAATCATCATTTTCTTGAAATTTGTGAAGTTGTTGTTTACTTGAAACAATTGATATTAAATGAAGATGTTTTGTTGGGTTCAATGGCAAAGAAAATGAAGGAGAAATTTGATAAGTATTGGGGTGATCCAGAAAAAATGAACAAAATGATTTTCATTTCATGTGTTTTGGATCCTCGGTACAAGTTTGATTCTGTTAGTTTTGCACTTGCGAAGATGTTCGAAGAGAAAGGGTCAATTATCGCGAAGGGAGTGCATACATACATGACTTCATTGTTTGATGAGTATGTAAAGTCTTGTTCAAAAGATAAAGTTTGTCGTCCCTCTTCATGTTTATCTAACTCTTCATTGGACACAATGGAAACTTCAAATGGATCTTTTGGTTCTTTCTTTGAAGAATTAAAAAGACATAAAGCTGGGATTGGAGGTTCAGATTCTAAATCAGAATTGGAAAAATATCTAACAAAAGAAGTTGAAAATGAAATAGCAGACAGTAATATATTGCTTTGGTGGAAAGTAAACTCACCTAGATTCCCCATTCTTGCTGAGATGGCTCGGGATGTATTATCTATTCCTATTTCAAGTGTTGCATCTGAATGTGCATTTAGCACTGGAGGGCGTATTCTTGATTCATTTAGGAGTTCATTGACTCCTAAATTGGTGGAAGTTCTCTTGTGCCTTCAAGATTGGCTTCGAAGTGAGCCATTACCTGTAAGTGTTGAGGAAGATTTAGATGTTCTCGAGCAACTAGAACAAGGTAGCAATATTTTAATTTGTTTGATTGTATATTATTTTTATAAATAGTTTATTTAATATTTTTGTTGTTTGACTTGTTAATATATATTATCATAGATTTTGCCAATCTTGAAAACGAACCCTGCGATGATGATATGTAGAATCCTAGATAGTTGTAAGTTAAAACTTTGGTAAGTTAATTATTCAACTTATATAACACATAGTATGA